CCCTCTTTCCCCCCCCTTTCCCCCCCCCAGGGCATGTCGTACCTGCACTCCCTGCACTACATCCACCGGGACCTGGCGGCTCGGAACGTGCTGCTGGAGAACGAGCAGGTGGTGAAGATCGGGGACTTCGGGCTGGCCAAGGCCGTCCCCGAGGGCCACGACTACTACCGGGTGCGGGAGGACGGCGACAGCCCCGTCTTCTGGTGAGTTCTGGGGTCCCAGACGGGGCTGGGATCCATTCCTGACCCCCAGAGCTTATCCAGGGCCTCTGGAACTGCATCCCACCCCATGGAGAGCCCAGGAACTATCCCCGACCCCCAGAGCTGCTCCGGAGCCTCTGGAATTGCATCCCTTCCCCCCAACCCCCAGAGCTTCTCCAGAGGCTCTGGAATTGCCCCCCTTCCCCAGATTGCCTGGAATTGCCTGGAATTGCCTGGAATTCCCAGAATTCCCACCCTGCTCTCCAGGTACGCCCCGGAATGCCTCAAGGAGTCCAAGTTCTACTTCGCCTCCGACGTTTGGTCCTTCGGGGTCACCCTCTACGAGATCCTGACCCGCTGCGAGCCCGGGAGCAGCCCCCCCGCTGTGAGTATCCCACCGGGAATTCCCTGGGAATCCCTGGGAGCAGCCCCCCCGCTGTGAGTATCCCACCGGGAATTCCCTGGGAATTCCTGGGAGCAGCCCCCCCGCCGTGAGTATCCCACCGGGAATTCCCGGGAAATCTCAGCCCCAGGGATGGGGAGCTGAGGGTTTGGGGGCTCTCCAAGGTCAGGGGTGGGGAAAGGTCACCGGGATTGGGATCTCCAGGGGTGGGATACTCAAGGTGTGGGGTCTCCAAGATTTGGGGGGGATTCCCAAAGTTTTTTGGGATTCCCAAGGCTGGGGAGTCCCCAGGACTGGGCTCTCCAAGGATTTTTTTTTTTTCCCCCTTCCCGGCAGAAATTCCTGGAGCTGATCGGAGCCACCCAGGGGCAGATGACGGTGCTGAGGCTGGTGGAGCTCCTGGAGAGGGGGAAGAGGCTCCCGATCCCAAAGGATTGTCCCTGCGAGGTGGGAAAGGCAGGGAATGGGGAGGGGAGAAAGGGGTGGAGTGAGAAAGGAGAGGAGGAAAAACAAGGAAGGGGAGGAAGAAATCGGGAAAGGCTTCACGTTCCTGCAGGGAAGAGGAGGGAGGGGGAAGTTGGGGGGCCCTTTTCCGGGATTTTTCCCGCTTTTTCACCCTGTTTTTGCTCCCCCCCTCCCCCAGATTTACCGGCTGATGAAGAACTGCTGGGAGGCAGAAGCTTCTTTCCGCCCTTCCTTCCACAACCTCATCCCGATCCTCAGGAACTTCCAGGAGAAATACCGGGCTCAGGCCCCCTCCGTCTTCAACCTCTGCTGAGATTCCTCCCCCCTCGAGAATTCCATGGAATGGGGTGGAAAATGCCACAAAAAACCTCCATGGATTATGGGGAAGGACCCCCCCTCGCCCCCCCAAAAAAATAATTCCATGGAGAGGTAGAGACACCCTAAAAATTCCATGGATGGGGGAAAAGAACCCAAAAAAATTCCGTGGAGTTGGGGGGGGGGGGAAACACCCCCATGGACTCTGGATTCCCGTTTTCCCGGCAGGATGAGGAAATTCCGGGATGTGGAGACGGAGCAGCACCAATGGAGAGGGGGATGGGGGGTGGAATCCTCCTCTGTCTCCAAAAATTCCAGATATTTCTCTCCCCACCCCAAAATTCCGAACACTGTGAATGAGACTGTGGGGACGAGGATTTTTGGGGAAAAGGGGGTGGATTTATTGGGGGGGATTTATGGAATTCTGGCCTTATTTCCCCCCCGCTCAGTTCATTCCTTGAGGGGGGGGTTGTCCTGACCCCAAATTTTGGGGGAGGGTCGTTTTTTTGGGATGAGGGGAGGGGAGGGGGGGGGGCTGGATCTCCTTCTTTCCCACCAGGAATTTGGGGCCCCCTCCCAAAAAAAAGGGCGGTTCAGCAAAAGGAATATGGCACTTTATCAGGATTTTGGGAGGGGTCTCGGGACCCTCCCCCAACTTTTGCCTTGGGAGGGTTTGGGGAGGAGGGGGGCTCAAAATTCCCCCATCCCCACATTCCCTGTTATTTATTGTCTGTTATTCCCTCCCCACTGGGATTTTGGGGGGGGATCCCCCAGCATTTGGGGTCCTGGATTTGGGACTCTCTGGATTTAGGGGGTCGTGGGGGGGAGGTACCCAGGGGGGGAGGGGTTGGATTTGGGGGGATCCCTCTGGGATTTGGGGTCTTGGATTTGGGACCGCCCCCCAGGATTTCGGGGTTCAGGGTCTCCGCCTTAACCTTCCCCTTATCAAATAAAGGATGGAAAAGCCCTCCCTGGTCTCTCTGCTCTGGAAATAGGGGGGGTATTTTAGGGTCTTTTGGGGGTGGGGTTGGGGTTTCCTTGGGATATTTGGGAGGATATTTTGGGGTCCCTTTGGGATATTTTGGGGTCCCTTTGGGATATTTCGGGGCCCTCTGAGGGTACCTTGGCATACTTTGGGTCCCTGAGGGGGGAATCAAAAGTCGCGCCTCCGTCCCCTCACCACCCACCCAACCAATCCCGCCCCTCGACCTTCATTATTCCCCCCTCCCCACCCAATCACCGCCTCTCACACAAAACCCCCCTCACCGCCCACCAATCACACCCCGCGACACATCCCCCCCTCAGAGCGCTCCTCCAATGGGGAGGCGCGTTGCTGGGGGGGTGGGTTCCCCGGTGGCGGCGGCGGCGGGGCCAAGATGGCGGCGGCGTCTGAGGGGAGCGGGCCCGGAGCGGGACCCGGGCGGGACCCCCGAGCGGAGCCCCGGGAGGAGCCCCGGGAGGAGCCGCCGGCGGGGCCCGAGCTCAGCCCCGAGGAGGAGCTGCCGCCGCTGAGCCCCGCCGAGGTGCGGAGCCGCCTGGAGCACAGCGAGCGGCAGCTCCGCAACCGGCGCAAGGTGCTCATCAAGGGGCTGCCCCCAGACGTGACCAACCAGGTGAGCGGCGACGGGATCAGGAACGGGATGGAGGCTGGAGCTTTTTTCCCCTCCGACCCCCCGATTCCTTTTTTTTTTAATCCCCCCCCCCCAAAAAAAAAAAAAAAAACAAAACAAAACATTCGTGGGAAATGCCTCGTGGGTTTTTTTTCTTTTTTTTTTTTTTTTGCAGGAAGTCCACGAGCTGCTGAGCGACTACGAGCTCAAGTATTGCTTCGTGGACAAGCACAAAGGAACGGGTGAGGAGCAGCCCCTGGAATTCCGGGATCAGCTGATGGAGGATGGGGCGGGTTCCTTGGGAGAGGGAACAACCTGGGATGCTTTCCCAAGCCTTTCCTTTTCCCAGGGATCCTTTTCTTTCCCAGGCACTGTGTCCTTTGTCAAGGATTGTTTCCTTTCCCAA